TCTCTCTCTCTCTCTCTCTCTCTCTCTCTCTCTCTGCACAACCTGTTCCATCCACACAATATGTTCAAGGTTAATCTCTCTCTCTCTCTCTCTCTACACTGAATGATGGACTTTGATACTTGTCCGATTGTCAATGCTAAGGTTGAATTACACTATGCTAAAAATCTGGGCGGCCCAGATGGGCTGAAGTCACCCGAGGCACGGCCAGGCAGGGTCCAGGCAAGGTCCCAGATAGCTCCAGCGCATAATATTAAAAATATATATATATATAAGAAAAAGAAACCAGCAAAAAACCTATATTGTGTAAAATACGGTGGCCCAAACAACTTTTGGCTGAGGTTCACCTTGGAATTCCTTATTAGTTTCGAGATAAAAATAAATTAGAGAGTGAGACTTAAGATTTAAAGTTGTAAACCTTTGAGCCCCTTCAAGACCTGGTAATAATGACTTGATACCCCCCAAACCCCCCTGGGTGATCCATCATCGAATTCGATGACAAGGCCAGATTCGCACTGCTGAGGCCAAATGTAGTCTAGGCCTGAAGTCAGAAGATCTTTTTTTTTTTTTTTTCCTTGCCTCTTTTTTTACCTGCCCAGCATTCACAGGCAGGTTTCCCTGCCCGCCTGGCCCGGGCATGCCTGGTCGGGTGGGTTCTTAGCCTAGGAAATATATGTCTTTGAGTCTATGATGATGAATACATAATACATATGCATTTTGAAAAACAAAGGGTAGAAACACATGCAACACGCTGCAGCCGCTGACATAACGTGGCTAATACCTGACGGTAGAGATGACAAGTACACAGGTGTACCCACATGAAATGACGACAATATGTAGAAGAATATAGCGTAGTTTTATAAATAAATAAAAACCTGAGTGGGGATCTGGGCCGCCTGGGTGACCGGCAGGGGCCCAGGGGAGCTCCCGGGCAGCCTGGCCGGGCAGGCCACCCGGTTGGGGGCCGGGCCCCCCCAGCACACTCACCTGTCGGGGGATTTCGGACCCCCTTT